GGGAGCCTGATGCGGGACTCGATCCCGGGACTCCAGGATCATGACCTGAGCCGAAGGCAGTCGCTTAACCAACTGAGCCACCCAGGCGCCCAGAATTTAATTTTTAAAAAACTTTATTTTAATTAAGATATAGTTTACACATAAGTTTTTATGTTTGCAATTTAGTGAGTTTTGAAAAATGTATATACCCATGTAACCACCTCCCCAGTTAAGGTCTAGAAAAAAACATTTCCATTGCCTTGGCCTCCTCATTGAATTTCATTTTATACTTTAATTGGGCTCTTAAATTTGGCAATGAATAGTAATTTAGCTGTATATTGGCTATATAAACCAACTTACTGCTAATATGAGTGAATGAATGCTCTGTGGTATTTGTAATACAGTGGTTGTGGACTCATTATTACAATTTATTTGGGATCCAAAATTTTTTAAAGCATAGTCATTTTATCAGCTCTTGTGTTTTGAGATTTCCTTTGACTTTTTACTAGATGTTTATGGATCGATTTATGGTATTTGTTTCATTTTTTAAGGTCTTGTCCAGAAGGCTAAGAAAGCCAAGAACAGGCTGTTGAAACGAGAAGATGACCGAGCAGAATCAGGGACACAAGGATATGAGTCTTTCAGTTATGGAGGGGTCGACCCTTACATGTGGGAACCCCAGGAACTAGGTAAGAAGTTCTGTTCATTCATTCAGCAAGTGTTTGAACATCTATATGTACTTGGTGATGTTTTAAGAGTTAGCTGAGAAAAAGAAGTGGGGGTGGGGCACCTGGATGGCTTAGTCAGTTAAGTGTCCAACTCTTGGTTTCGGCTCAGGTCATGATCTCACACAGGCTCTGTGTCCAGGCTCTGTGCTCAGCGGGAGTTTGCTTGAAGATCCTCTCCCTCTGGCCCTCCCCCTAATCGCACGCTCACTCTGTCTCTCTAAAATAAATAAATAAACCTTTAAAAAGGAAAAAGTCAGCTGAGGAGACATCAGTAAACCAGAACGGTCTAAGCTTCTTATGGACCTTATGTCCCAGAGTGGAGCAAAAATGGATCAGAATGAACTGAGCATCTGCTTTGTGTTAGGCACTGCATTAAATGCTTTACATGTGTACTCATGTAATCCTCACTGCACTGGATGGGGACCTGCCCAGAGTCAAACAGCTAAGGAACTATAGAACTGAGGTAGGAATCCAGGTGTTTGACATCAGCCCAGGCAGAGACTCCATTGACTGGGCTGTCTCTTCTCATGTAGGATGTTACCTGCCTAGCAAGAGGCACTCATTGACTTATTTGTGCAACTGAATTTTCTGAAACACATAATTATGGTACCATCTACTGAGTTTCAAAATAATCATCTTGGGGTGCCTGGGTGGCTCAGTTGGTTAAGCGTCTGCCCTCGGCTCAGGTCATGATCTCAGGCTCCTGGGATCGAGTCCCACATTGGGCTCTCGGCTCAGCAGGGAGTCTGCTTCTCCCTGTTGCTCTCCCTCTGTGCTTCACCCCTCTCTCTCTCTCTCAAATAAATCAATAAAATCTTTTTTTTAAAAAAAACATCTTTGTGAGGTGATGAAAATGTTCTAAGATTTATTTTGGTGATGGTTGTACAACTCTGAACATGCTAAAAACCATGGAATTTGTATGCTTTAAATGGTGGATTGTATGTCTGTGAATAACATCTCAACAGAGCTGTTACCAAAAATGCCACATGATGTTGAACTAGCTAATTTTACATGTCCTTTAACTGTTGTATGATAACAAAACTTAATATATTTTCTGTCCATACAATGGATAAATAATGATTTCCTCCTAAGGCTTTATTATACTTTCATATTCATTATCTTTTGCATCTTTCACAAAAGCTTCATGAGGTGGAATAGGTCATGATGCTCATTCCCATTTACAGATGAGGAAACAGGCTCTAAGGAGGGAATTGATATTTACCCAGAGTCATCTACCATATTCTTTTTATAGGGCCACAATGGAATGTGTCTTTTTGAATGAGGACAATGTTAGAACTGCACTGTCTGATAGGATAGCCACTAACTATATGTGGCTATTTAAATTCAAATAAGTTAAAATTAAATAAAAGTAATTTCCTCAATCATACACTAGCCATATTTCAAGTGCTCAGTCTACACCTGTGGCTAGTGGCTTCCATATTGGAGAGTGGAAACATTTTCATCATGGTAGGAGAAAATGGCTTTAAAAATAACACTATAGGAATGCCTGGGTGGCTCAGTTGGTTAAGCGTCTGCCTTCAGCTCAGGTCATGATCCCAGGGCCCTGGGATGGAGTCCTGCATCAGGTTCCTTGCTCAGCGGGGAGCCTGCTTCTCCCTCTGCCTGCTGCT